AACATTGTGCCATTAGGCTATTATTTCTACTCTTGCGTGAGAACATTTGTGATGGAGCGCTAGTGGGTGGATTGTTAAATCATGCATGAGTTTAATGCAAAAATGCTCTTAACTGTATTTACACTTTTTAACACAACAATGTGCTACAGTACATGTCACTCAGTACTGTGTCTACAAAATAACAAATTTTACTTATTAATAAGCAATCGGATTATGTTATTTTTATTAATCGGATTTGATTAAGTGAACATTTATATTGAAATATGTAGCTTGCAATTGAGATCTCAAACCATAAATATTTGTTTATAACTATATCACTAAAAATTACTGAAGATTTGACAGAAATGTGCTTTATCTTTTAGATTAATTTAGCTGTTATGATAGTATATGCCACAGCAGTACCTCAGGAAATGCTCTTTACGTATGCTGCAATGCAGAACTTAATGTCTTCAAGGAAACTTATATATTATTCATGACCATTGGGATCATGGTATTTAAGTGTAATGCAGAACTTATGTCATAGCTTTAAAAGTGATAGTCTGACACAAACTTGTACAAACCACAGTTTTTCACCTGTATTTTTCAGGAAATTGACTTCACTGGATTTCTACAACGTTGAAAAATGTTTCTACGACTGGAAACCAGCAGAACTTTTGTGTAGATAGACACGAGGACACCGTGTTACGAACCAAACTTCTCAGGAATTCACCGGGGAGAGAGCCGACTGGCACTTTGTCGTGCACAAGACTTTTTTTCTGGAGGACAATAATAAACGTCGCGTGCGAGAAAACCTACCGCCATGAATCGGTACCAGCTGATGAAGCAGGTCGGAGATGGAACGTACGGCAGCGTGTTGCTGGGAAAGAGCAACGAGACGGGGGAAATGGTCGCTATCAAAAAGTGAGTTGACAGTTTCCATTTTACTGAATATCTTGGGTTTTGACAAATAGCGCAAACACAAAGAACTGTCATATATGCTTGATGAGCACCTTTAGTAGGCTGTTAGTATAGAGCTTATTCACCACACGTCATCATGACGTCACGACCCCTCATGTCCCGTGCGACGCCATTTTGGGGTGCATCTCTACAGCGAGTTTCCAAGCGTTGAAATGGCCGACAAACGTTAGGTAAACTGTCCTTTGTCCTATTACACGAAGAGTTTACCACCACTCATACCTCTTGTTACTGGAACAAAATAAAATCTGTTGGGATTGACCCGTTTTTGTTGAGTTTTAATCAGTCTGATCGAGACGGCATCTACTGCTAGCGGAGTCCATTGACGTGACTTAGCTTCGTATTTGGTACTGGGCAGAAGTTTTTACACACAGGATCGGTTCAAACCTTTTCAGAGTCTGGAAGCGTTGTATCAGGATGTGTAGAGCCTCAGTGTTGTGGGGTAGTTGCGTGGTGACAAGTACGTTGTAGTCGGGATACGCAAAAGGTCACTATTTTGGAACAGCCCCGGACTATGTCTGGATAATAACAAGCAAAGGCTGCGGGGCCATCGGCCGCGATCCTCAGTCCGCACTGCCGCGACTGTGGCTGGACAAGGTGAGTGTTACAAGTTGCCAGCGCCCTGTTCTACATGGACATTTACCACAGAGTAAAGGGACAAGTAGGTCCAACAGATTTAACGTGTTTATGGCTACCCACGTTGCCATCTACAGCCCCCTACGCCAGGGTAAAACACACCGATTTCTGATCAGCAAAAAAAGATAAAAGCCGATCTTCAGAACATGAGACGTGGACATGGAGCCGGAACAACCCCAAGGACAATGTTACTAACAAGAAGAGTGTTCAAAACGTAGATTGTGGCCCAAAATACGCAACTATCGCCAAGAGTGTGCATAGCGTACCATAGCGATAGGCACCATGTTGCACCCCCAAATGGTGGAAAATGCTCGTTGCCGGGGGGAAGAGTCACGTGACAATCGGTGGTGAATAAGCCCTGTAGGCTCTTAGTATCTTATAACTTATAGAGTCCTAACTTATAGAAAAAAATGAAAAGTTATACTTATTATTATAGGAAAATTCACCTGCAACAAACTCTGACTCGTGAAGGAGAAAAGCCCTATCCTTTCAAAAGGTCGTCTTGTCTTGGAATCCTATAGTATGTTAACTATGGACCATGGTTGTCAGAAATTTACTGGACTACATGTAGGCATATGTTATCCTAATGTGTAAGATTGCACATTTCTTGGGATTTCATTTCAATTGAAAACCCCAGGTTCAATTGAAAGAAATGAAAACGCCACCCCAATACAATCTAATATTTACACCTACACCAGCAACACATACATGTGTGTTGTGTTGTTACATCCCATCTGTCACTGTATCCTGCAAAAATAGGTCACTGCATGTGCTGACCAAGGTCGCTTTAAAGGTCACTCTCAGCATAGACATGCTGTAAAGTGTTGACGTCTGGATGTAATAAATTGTTAGTTATTTTGCGTCACATGAGCAGAGAGAATGAAATTCGTGTTCCAGTTTTGTCATCTTATTGTTCAACATTATACATCTTGTCAGTCAAAAAATGTGTCTCATACATGTTTTAGTGATGATTTTAGTTTCTATAAATTATAGTATAATGGAAAATTGATTTTGTCACTTCTCTTCTGATCTGTACCACAGTGTCAACTCCAGCTAATGGTTATTTATGTGCATGTTTTGTTAAACTAGAGACTGGACTTTAATCCTAAGTGGTGATATGCTAGACAACTAGTTCAGCACTTGTCTGTAGCAGATAACAATCTCCCCTTATGAAACAGCAAGTCTCCTCACAAGTGCTATACTTTATTATGTAAGACTATCAAGATTTCACATTCATTGTGATATTTTTTGTCTTTGAAAAACACTATTTTTAGTTGTGCAAACATGTCTCGTCAGTTAAATGAAGAGGAAATGAAGTGAAAAAGTGACCCTACTACTACTATTTATATAGCATTTGACACTCAAACTTGTACTTTGGAACTACTCAGTACATACTAGTAGTACATCATATATTTTTGCTCACAATGAATATGAAATTACATTAAATATCTACTGTGCATTGTCACACAGGAATTTATTCACACATTTCTTCATAACTACATAAGTCTGTATTCATTGCAATAGTCTAAAGGTTTCAACACATTATAACATTGTACCTAGATTATTGTAAGCACAATTGTAAATTTTCAACAATTGTTCAAATTTTCAAAAGAAAAAAAACAAATACCAAATACTGATAGCACAATGATGTAACTCTGTCTAAATGTTGACATTTTTTTCTTGCTGCTGAACTTCACAACCAATACAAATTCTGGTGCCAATCAACTACTTTAGAATGCTGATTCTATTTTTATTTTGTTTCTGCAGAATGAAGAAGAAATTTTATTCATGGGAAGAGTGTATGAATCTTAGAGAAGTCAAGGTGAGTTCAACATAGCTTTTGGTATTTCAAGTTGTTTGCTGTTTGAATTATTGCAAAAAACAATTTGTACAA